CCAAGGCCAGGAATGACCAAGGCCAGGACTAGTAGCTATGACCAAGGCCAGGAATGACCAAGGCCAGGACTAGTAGCTATGACCAAGGCCAGGAATGACCAAGGCCAGGACTAGTAGCTATGACCAAGGCCAGGAATGACCAAGGCCAGGACTAGTAGCTATGACCAAGGCCAGGAATGACCAAGGCCAGGACTAGTAGCTATGACCAAGGCCAGGAATGACCAAGGCCAGGACTAGTAGCTATGACCAAGGCCAGGAATGACCAAGGCCAGGACTAGTAGCTATGACCAAGGCCAGGAATGACCAAGGCCAGGACTAGTAGCTATGACCAAGGCCAGGAATGACCAAGGCCAGGACTAGTAGCTATGACCAAGGCCAGGAATGACCAAGGCCAGGACTAGTAGCTATGACCAAGGCCAGGAATGACCAAGGCCAGGACTAGTAGCTATGACCAAGGCCAGGAATGACCAAGGCCAGGACTAGTAGCTATGACCAAGGCCAGGAATGACCAAGGCCAGGACTAGTAGCTATGACCAAGGCCAGGAATGACCAAGGCCAGGACTAGTAGCTATGACCAAGGCCAGGAATGACCAAGGCCAGGACTAGTAGCTATGACCAAGGCCAGGAATGACCAAGGCCAGGACTAGTAGCTATGACCAAGACCAGGAATAACCAAGGCCAGGACTAGTAGCTATGACCAAGGCCAGGAATGACCAAGGCCAGGACTAGTAGCTATGACCAAGGCCAGGAATAACCAAGGCCAGGACTAGTAGCTATGACCAAGGCCAGGAATGACCAAGGCCAGGACTAGTAGCTATGACCAAGGCCAGGAATAACCAAGGCCAGGACTAGTAGTTATGACCAAGGCCAGGAATGACCAAGACCAGGACTAGTAGCTATGACCAAGGCCAGGAATAACCAAGGCCAGGACTAGTAGTTATGACCAAGGCCAGGAATGACCAAGACCAGGACTAGTAGCTGTGACCAAGACCAGGAATGACCAAGGCCAGGACTAGTAGCTGTGACCAAGGCCAAGAATGACCAAGACCAGGACTAGTAGCTATGACCACGGCTAGGAATGACCATGACCAGGACTAGTAGCTGTGACCAAGGCCAGGAATGACCAAGGCCAGGACTAATAGCTATGACCAAGGCCAGGACTAGTACCTATGACCAAGGCCAGGAATGACCAAGACCAGCACTAGTAGCTACAAAACGCATCGGCGCGGATGTCTGGTTAAACGTTTGATATTCTACAATACAGACTGCGATTGGATCAGTATTGGAGGCTGGTGTTCTGGATTTCTCACCTCACAGGAAGTGACAACATGGACACGTCATATCTGGCAGGATCAACGGGCATTCTGTGCTTGTCAAAAATGTTCTTAACCTGGAAAATGAAAACCATATAGGCATCGTCAACGACCGCTAAGAAGCCAACTGTCCCATTGAGGAACTCGAGGTTTTGGGTCAATCTCTGCGCGGTTCTTCAATAAATTGGGGCCTCTCTGGATGACCGACTTCCAAAATGTAATAAAAGAATATATCTTGGGCTCCTTGGATTCCTCTCATTGATAATTGTGACCAATAGAGGGATGAATCTCCCTACTGGGGACACCGCCAGCAATAAAAACCTGACAGAGGGTTTAATCCTCCCCTACTTCATCCAAAAATGCAGAACAACTTTTTTATTATTACACTTTTATTTAATATTAAATTACAAAATAACAGGCACGGACATTCTCATATCAATCTTTTAACAAAAGTGGAGTTTTCCTGTCTAGAATATTTATAGATGTGTTTGTATCCGGTTTATAGAATGTATCCTTATAAGCGCAATTACAGCGACATGTCATTCATCCTCCCACCACAGAGGGCGCTGCGGGCTATGGAGACTCTCCTGTATGACGTCACCGGGAAGATGGCGCCGTCCGTGGAGCACAGCATGCTTTAGCCGGAGCACCGGTCAGCTGAATGTAGCCGCTCAGAGAGATTTTATATCTTCTGTAAATGTGACCTGAGCGGAATTTATTGTGTCAGGTGAGTGTGTTAGAGCTCTGATCAGCCATATAGAGATGACTATGTGTCCTGCTTCCTGTATGTGTCTTATTATGATATACTGTGCCCATTATGAGGGGCCCCCACCATCCCTGTGCTGAGTTCCCGGGTCTGTACACCCGCTGTGCCCATTATGAGGGGCCCCCACCATCCCTGTGCTGAGTTCCCGGGTCTGTACACCCGCTGTGCCCATTATGAGGAGCTCCCACCATCCCTATGCTGAGTTCCCGGGTCTGTACACCCGCTGTGCCCATTATGAGGGGCTCCCACCATCCCTGTGCTGAGTTCCCGGGTCTGTACACCCGCTGTGCCCATTATGAGGGGCTCCCACCATCCCTGTGCTGAGTTCCCGGGTCTGTACACCCGCTGTGCCCATTATGAGGGGCTCCCACCATCCCTGTGCTGAGTTCCCGGGTCTGTACACCCGCTGTGCCCATTATGAGGGGCTCCCACCATCCCTGTGCTGAGTTCCCGGGTCTGTACACCCGCTGTGCCCATTATGAGGGGCTCCCACCATCCCTGTGCTGAGTTCCCGGGTCTGTACACCCGCTGTGCCCATTATGAGGGGCTCCCACCATCCCTGTGCTGAGTTCCCGGGTCTGTACACCCGCTGTGCCCATTATGAGGGGCTCCCACCATCCCTGTGCTGAGTTCCCGGGTCTGTACACCCGCTGTGCCCATTATGAGGGGCTCCCACCATCCCTGTGCTGAGTTCCCGGGTCTGTACACCCGCTGTGCCCATTATGAGGGGCTCCCACCATCCCTGTGCTGAGTTCCCGGGTCTGTACACCCGCTGTGCCCATTATGAGGGGCTCCCACCATCCCTGTGCTGAGTTCCCGGGTCTGTACACCCGCTGTGCCCATTATGAGGGGCTCCCACCATCCCTGTGCTGAGTTCCCGGGTCTGTACACCCGCTGTGCCCATTATGAGGGGCTCCCACCATCCCTGTGCTGAGTTCCCGGGTCTGTACACCCGCTGTGCCCATTATGAGGGGCTCCCACCATCCCTGTGCTGAGTTCCCGGGTCTGTACACCCGCTGTGCCCATTATGAGGAGCTCCCACCATCCCTGTGCTGAGTTCCCGGGTCTGTACACCCGCTGTGCCCATTATGAGGGGCTCCCACCATCCCTGTGCTGAGTTCCCGGGTCTGTACACCCGCTGTGCCCATTATGAGGGGCTCCCACCATCCCTGTGCTGAGTTCCCGGGTCTGTACACCCGCTGTGCCCATTATGAGGGGCTCCCACCATCCCTGTGCTGAGTTCCCGGGTCTGTACACCCGCTGTGCCCATTATGAGGGGCTCCCACCATCCCTGTGCTGAGTTCCCGGGTCTGTACACCCGCTGTGCCCATTATGAGGGGCTCCCACCATCCCTGTGCTGAGTTCCCGGGTCTGTACACCCGCTGTGCCCATTATGAGGGGCTCCCACCATCCCTGTGCTGAGTTCCCGGGTCTGTACACCCGCTGTGCCCATTATGAGGGGCTCCCACCATCCCTGTGCTGAGTTCCCGGGTCTGTACACCCGCTGTGCCCATTATGAGGGGCTCCCACCATCCCTGTGCTGAGTTCCCGGGTCTGTACACCCGCTGTGCCCATTATGAGGGGCTCCCACCATCCCTGTGCTGAGTTCCCGGGTCTGTACACCCGCTGTGCCCATTATGAGGGGCTCCCACCATCCCTGTGCTGAGTTCCCGGGTCTGTACACCCGCTGTGCCCATTATGAGGGGCTCCCACCATCCCTGTGCTGAGTTCCCGGGTCTGTACACCCGCTGTGCCCATTATGAGGGGCTCCCACCATCCCTGTGCTGAGTTCCCGGGTCTGTACACCCGCTGTGCCCATTATGAGGGGCTCCCACCATCCCTGTGCTGAGTTCCCGGGTCTGTACACCCGCTGTGCCCATTATGAGGGGCTCCCACCATCCCTGTGCTGAGTTCCCGGGTCTGTACACCCGCTGTGCCCATTATGAGGGGCTCCCACCATCCCTGTGCTGAGTTCCCGGGTCTGTACACCCGCTGTGCCCATTATGAGGGGCTCCCACCATCCCTGTGCTGAGTTCCCGGGTCTGTACACCCGCTGTGCCCATTATGAGGGGCTCCCACCATCCCTGTGCTGAGTTCCCGGGTCTGTACACCCGCTGTGCCCATTATGAGGGGCTCCCACCATCCCTGTGCTGAGTTCCCGGGTCTGTACACCCGCTGTGCCCATTATGAGGGGCTCCCACCATCCCTGTGCTGAGTTCCCGGGTCTGTACACCCGCTGTGCCCATTATGAGGGGCTCCCACCATCCCTGTGCTGAGTTCCCGGGTCTGTACACCCGCTGTGCCCATTATGAGGGGCTCCCACCATCCCTGTGCTGAGTTCCCGGGTCTGTACACCCGCTGTGCCCATTATGAGGGGCCCCCACCATCCCTGTGCTGAGTTCCCGGGTCTGTACACCCGCTGTGCCCATTATGAGGGGCCCCCACCATCCCTGTGCTGAGTTCCCGGGTCTGTACACCCGCTGTGCCCATTATGAGGGGCTCCCACCATCCCTGTGCTGAGTTCCTGGGTCTGTACACCCGCTGTGCCCATTATGAGGAGCCCCCACCATCCCTGTGCTGAGTTCCCGGGTCTGTACACCCGCTGTGCCCATTATGAGGGGCTCCCACCATCCCTGTGCTGAGTTCCCGGGTCTGTACACCCGCTGTGCCCATTATGAGGAGCTTCCACCATCCCTGTGCTGAGTTCCCGGGTCTGTACACCCGCTGTGCCCATTATGAGGGGCTCCCCCCATCCCTGTGCTGAGTTCCTGGGTCTGTACACCCGCTGTGCCCATTGGAGTATCCACATAAGAAGCCAAGGACTGTCTCTGCCAATCACCTTTATATACATGTTTGGTGGAGTGGCCCTTTAATCTCAGGGTGTGTTGCTCATTTTGTGCTGATCTCTCCTTTTTCAGTATCAGGCGTCCAGTGTAGGACACCCCACTATGGCCACCACACCGGGCGCGAAGAGCCAAGGCATGAAATTTGCTGAGAAGCTGCTACACAGACACGGCTGGACTGAAGGTGATTGTTATGTCGGTGTTTAATTTAACCGGTACATGGAGGGTGACTGGTGGTGGTGTCATGGAGGGTGACTGCTGGTGGTGTCATGGATGAAGACCGGTACATGGAGGGTGACTGGTGGTGGTGTCATGGAGGAAGACCGGTACATGGAGGGTGACTGGTGGTGGTGTCATGGAGGAAGACCGGTACATGGAGGGTGACTGGTGGTGGTGTCATGGAGGAAGACCGGTACATGGAGGGTGACTGGTGGTGGTGTCATGGAGGAAGACCGGTACATGGAGGGTGACTGGTGGTGGTGTCATGGAGGAAGACCGGTACATGGAGGGTGACTGGTGGTGGTGTCATGGAGGAAGACCGGTACATGGAGGGTGACTGGTGGTGGTGTCATGGAGGAAGACCGGTACATGGAGGGTGACTGGTGGTGGTGTCATGGAGGAAGACCGGTACATGGAGGGTGACTGGTGGTGGTGTCATGGAGGAAGACCGGTACATGGAGGGTGACTGGTGGTGGTGTCATGGAGGAAGACCGGTACATGGAGGGTGACTGGTGGTGGTGTCATGGAGGAAGACCGGTACATGGAGGGTGACTGGTGGTGGTGTCATGGAGGAAGACCGGTACATGGAGGGTGACTGGTGGTGGTGTCATGGAGGAAGACCGGTACATGGAGGGTGACTGGTGGTGGTGTCATGGAGGAAGACCGGTACATGGAGGGTGACTGGTGGTGGTGTCATGGAGGAAGACCGGTACATGGAGGGTGACTGGTGGTGGTGTCATGGAGGAAGACCGGTACATGGAGGGTGACTGGTGGTGGTGTCATGGAGGAAGACCGGTACATGGAGGGTGACTGGTGGTGGTGTCATGGAGGAAGACCGGTACATGGAGGGTGACTGGTGGTGGTGTCATGGAGGAAGACCGGTACATGGAGGGTGACTGGTGGTGGTGTCATGGAGGAAGACCGGTACATGGAGGGTGACTGGTGGTGGTGTCATGGAGGAAGACCGGTACATGGAGGGTGACTGGTGGTGGTGTCATGGAGGAAGACCGGTACATGGAGGGTGACTGGTGGTGGTGTCATGGAGGAAGACCGGTACATGGAGGGTGACTGGTGGTGGTGTCATGGAGGAAGACCGGTACATGGAGGGTGACTGGTGGTGGTGTCATGGAGGAAGACCGGTACATGGAGGGTGACTGGTGGTGGTGTCATGGAGGAAGACCGGTACATGGAGGGTGACTGGTGGTGGTGTCATGGAGGAAGACCGGTACATGGAGGGTGACTGGTGGTGGTGTCATGGAGGAAGACCGGTACATGGAGGGTGACTGGTGGTGGTGTCATGGAGGAAGACCGGTACATGGAGGGTGATGTTTGTGTCTTCCTCTGTAGGGAAGGGTCTCGGCCGGAGGGAAAGTGGCATCTCGGAGGCAATCAAAGTCAAAGTGAAGTGCGACTCGGCCGGGGTGAGGAAATATCACGATTGTTCCCCAAGGAAATTAATTGACAGTTTACGCTTGGGACGGCTGTGATTGGTTCTCAGCGATCACAAGGTGCAGAGGCCATCTTGGCTATCTCTGTAGACTGCGATCTGAGCTGTCCAACGACGGGGGGATCACAGCCAAGCCCGCGCACGTTGTCCACCCATGTGCGTTTCCTTCCTCGCCCTTTATAAATGGTGCCCGCGCCCCTCCGCCGTGTTTTTATGCAGTGCAGCGGTATTGAGGTGGATA